ACAGGGCTGGCAGTGGAGGGTGCTGGGGGCGAAATGCTGAGCACAGCACAAAGGACAGCAGAAGTCGGTGATGGTCTGAGCAATGGGCTTGGTGCTGATTGCAGAAACTAATTGTAAGCCACTTCAGGATGACAAATTCTCTTGGATTACTTCAAGAAGATAGGTTTGCCCTAACTTATCAACTTAAATAGATAACTACTGCTTATTATAAATGCACATTTGGAAGTATATGTTCTATTTTAATTTAAAAAGTTAAGCAGAGGCTGCAGGATGAATTCTGAAGATGCATGGCCCATCCCATCCCATTACCGAGAAGACAACAGGAAGCTGTAGCCAGATATAAAAGCATTAAAATAATTAATTTTCGGCTTTATTGTGTGTCAACAGGAATATATAATGAGCATTTTTGCAAAAACTGTAGATTAAGCGTTTCTCTCTGAATCAGTGCTGTGCTAAAATTGTCCTTGGTTTAATGCAGAACAAACAGGCTTTGGATCTCATTACCGTTGTTACTCATTGCAGTCGGTGTCCGGGGCTACCGAGACAGGTGAGATCAGTGGAAAATAACTACAAGTATTAAACTAAACAAGCAGTAAGATGAGAAAAGGAAGATGCATCGTGTTTCCGTGTAGGTTAAGAACTGATTGTTATGAGATCACCAAAAAACAGCTACAACATAGAGCCCATGGATCTCAGGCTGGTGGGCAGCGGTACGGCTCAGAGCCCAGGGTTTGGCAGCAGGTGTGTGAGCTGAAGGAGCTGTGCTGGCTGCACAGAACTGCCAGGTTTTGGCTGCAAGCCTGCGAGCAGTGATGAGTTTCCACTGCCTTTGGTTTGAACACTGATTTACTCATCACATAAACGATGACTAAATGATAGATATGGCTGTGTCTGTGCCCGCAGCCCTCCCTGGCACAAAGCGGGCAGTGGTAGGAGAAACCAGAGCAGGACACTCATAGAGAGACTTTTAACTCCTGTTTTAAAAGGAGAATATTTGGATGGATTTAAGATGAATATCTCAACAGAGTGGGAAAACTGAGGTGCTGGAGCTGCTCCTCTGAAGCTGCCCATTTTGGATCCATTTTGGAACCCAGCAGCAGGTGCAGGAGGGGGCAGCGCCAGGGCTGTTAGGAGCCTCAGCCATGGGGATGGACGGGGTGGTGGGGAGCAGCCCCTCCTGCAGGGCTGGGTGCCACTGCCCCCAGGGAACGGAGCTGAAGGGGGAGGTTACAGCAGTGGGTGAAACGCAGAGTTGGCCGTGTCTGGGTGAGTCGCTGTGGTAGATTGGTGTCTTTCCCTGGTAGTTTGGCTTATCGCTGCTGTTATCTGTTTAAGGGATTTTAGTTGATATTTTGCAGGAAGCTTTGTTGACTGTGTGTTGTTGACATATTCTTAGCTTAAAACTGTTATCATATTAAAGCCCTGGATTGAAAAACTAATTACAAGACATTAATAGCTAAGCCTGAAGAGCTAAGTCATGCAAATATTGCTATCTGGGAAGTTGAATGTACAAAAACTGTTTGAACTCTGACTTAGTGACAGGAGCCTGAAAGCAGTTTGTGAGATTGCAATAAATCTGAGCGCAATCCTCCGCAATTGTTTCCTAATATGTCCATGAAATTAATGGCAGCGCCGTTATAAGCATCCTATTGGGGAAAGTAGCTATCTTCTTCCTGAGAAGGTTAATTATCAGTAACGTAATTATTTTTGTACTGACTTTCATTTTAATCAAACATTGCATGAAACAATTTGGTTCAGAACAAATAGCTTATTACAGAAATGTTTGTGGTGCTGAGAAAAGAAGCGGGGATGTTTAAATTATAGACATATATCGAGTTACTTTATTCATTAAAATGAACAATTATGCTAGGCCTTATGAGACGGACTAAGCATTTCTTGCCGATGTTTATTCTGTGGTGAGCATGATGAGAATTAATGCTGGGGCCGGATCCCATCGCACCGAGGTGTTCATGGAGTGGGCAGTGAGCTGTGGGCTCTGCTCCTGGCTGCTGGCTGCTCACTGCCCACAGCCACGAACAGCCTCAGCTGTGGGTTCAGCATCTTGAAATGAAGCCAGGAGGTGAAAGACGTGCTGGTGTGCAGCCTTCAGGGAGCGCGAAGGGCAGCGGTGCTGGGTGTGCATGCGGTGTCATGGCAGCATGGGGCAGCCGTGGAGGGAGCACAAAGCGCAGTGCTCCGCCAGCACTAGGAACGCTAATTGGCAAGGCTGTAACAAAGTGCCTGTCCTCATGTTCCTCATCTGCCATCCAGATTCTGAGCAGTTGCAGATTAGGTGCCGATCTGAAGGCAGGGCTGGCACTATGCTGAGGTGGTTGAGGGCAGAAGCAAAGACCAGAAGTGCTTGCTTTCATATGGACTGCTTGAAAATACTGCTTTTATCTGAACCTAACAGCAGCAAATCCCGTGGTTTGCTGCTATTAGTTAGATTGTGGTGAATGAAACGCTCTGCTGTTTTGTTTTGTTGACGGTGCTATTACAGTAATTGTGAACAAAAATTATTCCTGCTTTTTCATCATGGTCCTGATCCTGAAACTCTGAACTTGGCAAAATCTGAAAGTAAGTCGTTTCCAGCTCAGGTAGGCAAGAAGTACTGGGAAAAGTGCCATTAAATAGAAGCAGGCTTAGAGGTTTAAGTAAATAAAAAAAGGAACTGAATGTAACAATTCCTCAACACAATAGAAATTTTTCTAGATTCGGGTTCTCAAAAGCCTATTTACAGAAACTGCAGTAAGGGATGGGAAGAGGAGAACAGAATAATGTACGTTGGGTACGGCCATCAGCTCCCAGGGCTTCTGATGCACAGCTGAACAGTTTGTTGCTTTTGTTTACACTTCTGAACGCAGTTACAAAGCAATAATTTATTACAAAAATGAGAAATGCTTCAAAAATACTCTGTGTGTGTGTGTGTTGGGGGAGGATGGGGGGAAGCATCTCCACTTTGGATCAGATTCTCCGCTCCCAGCGCCTGCCTCGGTGGCAGGTGGCTTATCTGACAGCAGTTTTCATTATTAATTTTCTAGCCAGAAGCAAAGGAGCACCGTGAGCCTTTCTGAGGGCAGCGATACAGAGTTATCGTGGTGTGGTCCCAGCAGACCAGAAAAGAACTTTCCATAATTTTGCCTGATCTCCTATTTATCTCCTCACACCAGTATCTGTGCAGAATGAGATACCTTCAGGCTGTCCCCGCTATCTAGCAGTGCACGGGATACTTTTGAGAATATGGAAATTCTCCCTTTTCTGGGTCTGCGGGTGTAGGGGGATGTGATGATGCATTAATAACTCTGTGGCTCTCTGAGCTATGTAGAAAATTGGTGAGAACCTTTTCACTGCTGCAGCCTGGGTCAAAATGCATGCATGTAGATGCTCTCCTCATTTCATATCAATGCATGCTGTGAAACCAGCATCAAGTACTTTCTGTGTTTAGTAGCTGTAATAGCAAATGGGGGCTCCAGCCTGGGCTGGTGTGCCACTCTGTAGCTGTACCACACCGGTATGGGGTAGTTGCCCTGCCTCAGCTTCCATCTTTCTAGGAAGGTGAGATAGAGAGCAGTGGTAAGGAGGAATCATTTTTCAGCTTGTGTAAGCTGCAAGCCTTCAGCTCAGTGCGATGTTAGGGAAGAGTTGCCGGGTCTTTTTTTCTTTCAGAATAAGCAGTGAATATTGAAGGTTAATGAAGTTTCTTGAGCAGTGGCAGACCTCTCAAGTATCTGTTATCGAGGGATTATTTCTGTAACGTTGGCTGCAGGCTCTCAGTAGTATAATATTTGAGCAGTCCGTGGCTTCGATGTTTTTTCAAGTGTATGAAACAAAGTTGGTACGGGGTCTATTTTGAATTAAATTAGGGGGGTGCACCTGAATCCTTCAGTTTAAGACATTCTAACCCCAGTCTTCCTGCGCACATCAGTAATCACACAGCTGATTCCAGCAGCTCACCTTAAAATCCCTCAGTTGTAGGAAATATTGGAGCGTGTAAACATTGAAGAACCTGAATTATTAGCTGCAATGTTGTTTTAGTTAGACTTACTCACATCTGCCCCAGCAGATCAGGTAGTGCATCAGGAAAAGCTGTGCACACACATGTGCTGCAGGTTGAGGGGTCTCTGAGGTTTCTGCTGTGTGGCTGAGCTGGATCTGGTGCCCTGAGTCGGTGCTGGGTGTCAGCCCTCCCCGTGGTCCCAGACTGGGTTATGGCAGGGGAGCTTCAGTGCTGAACCTGCCGGGTTCTTAGCAGCTGGTCAGTCTGGAATGTTTTGGAATGATTTGTGACTCCAATTTTGTGCAGTATTTTGAGTTAGACTTGGAGTTTAGGATTCTTTGGATTTAGGATTCTTTAGACTACGGAACAAATGAGACGTTCCATTACTTAATACAGTCGCTGATAATTTGCATTCCCAGAAGCACGCATGATATTTCAAAAGCTGGCTGTGACTTTGAAATGAAATATTATCTAATTACGGTGTTTTTCATTGATGACTATTTTCTTTGTACCTCATAGTTCTTATGCAGCTCTCATTACAGATCTCACCACATTCCCACCAATTCCAGCCCCTAGGTACGTTTCCACCTCGTTCAAAGTGTTCCCCTGTAGCAGGAGTTCCAGGAGGGGAGCACACTTGCTGTGGTCTCGGTGAGAAGCCCCAGGCTCTGGGTGCACAAAAGACAGTCTGACAGTGTGTCTGCTGCCTTCCCATAAGCCAAATCAAGTGCTCTCACTGATTTTCATGCAGCAAAAAGGGTTTCCACACTGCTGTTTTATCTGGCGCTCTGTCATTCTACACAAATTTATTAGTAAGAAACGTGAAAAATGGCTGTAGTAAATAGTCTTGGGTTACAGTCCCACGTGAAGGCACTGGTGTGCAGTCTGGAAAAGCACAGTGGGCCACATGTGATGTTTTCCATTTGTTTGTTGCAGCGTGCTGCCCCGTGGTCCGGCGGTAACACCTACATAACAGCCTCCTTCTGCTTCACATGTCTCCTAGATCGACGACATGCAGTGGGGTAAAGGAGTGCGACAGGTCCCGTCCTCGGTCTGCAGCCTGCCTTGCAAGCCGGGAGAGAGGAAGAAGATGGTGAAGGGGATGCCGTGCTGCTGGCACTGCGAGCTGTGCGATGGGTACCAGTACCAGGCCGATGAGGTCACCTGCCTGCTGTGCTCCTACAACGAGCGGCCCAACGAGAACCGCACCGGCTGCCGCTCCATCCCCATCGTCAAGCTGGAGTGGCACTCGCCCTGGGCTGTGATTCCTGTCTTCTTGGCCATGCTTGGGATTATCGCCACCATTTTTGTCATGGCGACCTTCATTCGCTACAACGATACCCCCATCGTCCGGGCCTCGGGGCGGGAGCTCAGCTACGTCCTGCTGACGGGGATCTTCCTCTGCTACATCATCACCTTCCTGATGATCGCCAAGCCAAACGTCGCCGTGTGCTCCTTCCGGCGCATCTTCCTGGGGCTGGGGATGTGCATCAGCTACGCAGCCCTGCTGACTAAAACAAACCGCATCTACCGCATATTTGAGCAGGGCAAAAAGTCAGTGACAGCACCCAGGCTTATCAGCCCCACGTCGCAGCTGGCGATCACGTCGAGTTTGATATCTGTGCAGCTTCTAGGTGTCTTTATTTGGTTTGCAGTTGACCCACCCAACATCATTATAGATTATGATGAGCAGAAAACTATGAACCCTGATCAAGCCAGAGGAGTTCTCAAATGTGACATAACGGATCTACAAATCATTTGTTCCTTGGGTTATAGCATTCTTCTAATGGTTACATGTACTGTGTATGCCATCAAGACTCGGGGTGTCCCAGAGAATTTTAATGAAGCTAAACCCATTGGATTCACTATGTACACTACCTGTATAGTATGGCTTGCCTTCATTCCAATATTTTTTGGCACTGCCCAGTCAGCTGAAAAGGTAGGTGAAAATGAGCTCCCGGGCGTCTGCTAGAAAAGCTTTCATTGCAGCTATAAATTGTATGCTGATGTCCAACTTCTTACAAAGATTTTCAAATGAGCTGTCCAGTTAGCTTGTTACAGAGACATGCAATATACAGCACTATTTTCCTTCTCCAGTTAGCTGGTGGGATCTTCATTTGATAAACTGGCAAATGATCAATGGCAATTGTATTAGCCACTCTTTTTATTGTTGCATCTATTTCAATCGTCCCTTTTCAGTAGAATAAGTGGGAATTAGCTGTCATATCGTTCACAAAAGGAGATCTCTTAACTAAGTCATTTCAAGTAGAAGATATAAGAAAATAATGTTAAAAAATGATTAAGAGATGTCTGTGCTTCTAGAGGTCAGTGCTGAATTCAATGCGGAGTTGTCTGATGCGTGCTCAGCTCTGTTAGCAGCAGCCTCAGGGCTTATTTACACCGTGGGGTAAAGAGTCTGTCCTGAGCTCCAGCTGCATCTCGAAAGGTGGTGATTTCTGCTGGAAAAGAGTGCTGCCACATCTCAGGTATTTCAAATCCTACTGCTCTCCTTGTCGGGAGTGAGATAAGGAGCAACACGGGCAGCTTTCAACCCAGCTGGGTCTGTGTGTAGCTTTGGTCTGATGCAGCAAGCACAGAGCAGCTCTTGTGCTGCTTACCTGGGAGCGTGTCAGGCCTGCAGGTGACCGAGATGGTGGCTTTGAGCTGTCTGCAAAGGTTTGAGCATGTGATAGAAAGACTGGAAGAATGTCAAAGGCTGCTGCTGGGATTAAGAATCATTTGGCAGCAAAACCTTTAGTTTTCCACGAGTTCACCTATAGAGCTGAATTAACCTGCTTTGAAAGTGAAAGATTCTTGCACGAATTCACGTAGGACAGCAAAAGATATTATTAATTTGGTTTCACTCCGAGTGCAGGAGATGATGCCAGCAGAGCAAACAGCCTTGCAGCCTGTGTCAGCACAGCCCTGCAGAACCGGTGTCTGCGAGGAGGGCAGAGGTCCATCGCCACAGCACGATGAGTGCAAACACGCTGGGGCTGACTGCAGTTCTGCCCTCAGTGTGACCTCACCTGTGCGACGTGCGGCTCACAACACGCGTGGTTGCACTCGGGTGTCATCCCCAGAGATGGTCCCTGGTGTGTGGGCACGGACAGATGGCGGCTGTAGCACATCTGAGCCATGAGATGTGCCAGGTCTCCTCCCCATCTAGAGAGGCCTTCGTGCCCACGCTGAGTAGCTTTGCTTCTTGGCTTTCATTTCTGTCTCTTTTTCTTACTCTCTTTTTTCTTCTTTTTTTTGGCAGGGCAGGGGGTGTTGTACTTTTTTTGTGATTGCTAGTGATTTTCTGTCAGATATTTTCTCTGGAAAATATTGGGCATGGTCTTAGCCACGCAAGTCTTTGCTGAAATGGCAATTGTACATGCTGAAAATCTCATGCAGCCCAATCTTTTAAGCTGAGGAATGGTGTTATATATAACGCCATGCTTTTCATTGTATGGATTTATTTTATTTTATCAATAAATACGACTATAATGTTGTTTGGTAGGAAGCATATTAAGTATACCTCTCTTGTTCAGTGCAGGTTAAAAAAAAAAAAAGACTAAAACATGCTGCAAGTATTTCATCAAAGGCAAATAATTCCATCAGCAGAGAGGAAGGAGCGATGAGGGCTGAGGAAGGGCCAGTGCTGCAGGCTGGATGTAAAACCTATGGGGTATGTGGGAGGTGGTATATGGGAAAAGCAAATTCATAGCTTGCATTTATTCAGACTCTTAGTCTGCCCTTAGCCTTCAGAACTGCCCTGGTCAGCTGTGATGTCAGAAAGTCAGGCTTCCTTGGTGCCACAGCCTGCTGCTGGGTGCAGCCCATGGTCCCTGTGAGCTGCTGCCAACCCTTGCATGGTGGTTGTGCCCCGCGTTCCTGCCTGCCTGCTGCTCTGTTGCTCTCTGGGTTTTGGGTCATGTTTTGGGGTGCATTCTTCTTTTAGTGCGCTTTCCTGCGGCTATTGGTATGTGTTCCAAAATGCTGCTGTGGCCTTTGCTGGAGGAGATAGGAACCATGTTGTGTTTTCACTCAGAAAAATCCTTCCTTGGATACCAAACTCTGAGCATGGAGCTGGTGGGTCCCTCCCATTGTGCTGTATTGAGCAGCTCCAGTGGAGGCTCGGGGGCCTTGGGGCTGAGGGTGGTACCCACCCATCCTCGTGCACCTTGCTGTGCTGCCCTGCTCCTCCAGCAAGGGCCCATGCTGCCAAACGCTGCCACCGTGCCCCTGGACAATTGTTTTTGACAACAAAACTGCATTCAATCCTCAGTGGATGTGTGGGCACCTTATCAGAAGCAAAGTGGCCTCAAAAAGCTGTTAAACCAATTACAGGAGCCCTAGCTCTGCGGCAGAGTCAATACAGAGCAGCACTTGAAAAGAGCACGGGTTGCTCAGTGAGGTCAGGTGGAGCACAGCTCAATCGATGCTCCGAACTGAGCCAAAATCTTGGAGCACAGATGGGAGAGAGTGGTGGGAGGGAGCCCTCGGGCTTGTGCTTTCCCCTCCCTGAGGCTGTGGGTGGGTCAGCAGTGCCTGCTCCTACCATTGCCTTCTCCTGCCTTTCTGGGCCCCATGGTGATGGGGTCACCCTGTGGGGCCACGTGGCCATGCCCCGTTGCCACAGGACAGACTTCAGGGCACACATCTGAGATCGCTGGGTCTCACGGATCTTTCATTTCCCTTTATGTGTTGGACCATTTTCAGGTTTTTACAGGCAGTGTGGTAAAGCAGCAGTATGGCAGCATGCGATGCGCTCTGGTGCATCTGGAAGCATCCATTCGCAGGTGGTGCTGGTAGCTGCTTTTTTATTATTATGACTCTCTCTTAAAGTAAATATTTTTAAGACTTGCACAGCAAGGATTACCAGAGGCAAAGCTTTCATGGCAAAAAACAAAGAAAAATACAGTGAAGGGAAAAACCATCTGTAGTTAAATCAATGTGATAGGAAGAGTTCTTAAAATACCGTCTTGCTGTCTCTGTACATAAAAGTCAGTTTATTGTTGAGAAAACAATACCTCTCAGCACTTGTTTAGTACCATTTTACTTTTTCCACGCAATGCTGTTGATACTAGGAGGAGTTAACAGGGCAGGAGGACTTGTTGGAGGCTGTGTCAGAAATAGCTGGGCGCGGGGTTGGGGCTCTTTTCTCACCACCTCGTTCTCCATTTCTTCTCACCATTTCAACCCTGGTTATGAAAGTCTGAGATCACAAGCTATTTTCTCCTGTGGGAATTCAGTATCTCCGTGTATGAGTACTGTCGCTTACATTACATTTCTAAATCTCTAGGATGTAGTGCTGAAGAACTAGATCCCTTTAATGGCCAACCTGAGCATCAATCTGCTCCATGTAGCAGACATGCCAGGACCCAGCAGCATGGTGTGTCTGATCTGCAGTGCCACGTTGGGCTCATTAACGTGCACAGGTCTGTGTTTCGTGTGCCCATCATGGTTTGAAGAAGTAATGTCATTTGGAATCAGGCTATAACCGTGAGATTAAAAGAACTCGTTGTGTGCACAGGTCTGAAGTCCGTTCTCGTACTCGGCAACAGCATGCAGGTGTAGTTCTCTACGTTGCATATTCCCCTAAGATCTTATTTTCTCAAATGGTGCCATTGAACTAATATGAGGGATAAGTCATCATTGTATTTTAATGTTCTGCAGAGACTTTACTGCTTAGTAGCTGTGATCACTTTTATTTAGTAATTGCTGAGATTAAAATAATACATTTCTGGGTACGTCTCCTAGGCAGTAATGGCTGTCAGCATGCTCCTGGATAGGTGCTACAAGTGGGACTTCTTGAAATATTTTGAGGACGTTTTTCAAGTAAAAAAAAGTTGTAATCATGACTCTGAGTGAGTGATGGTTTTCAGCCAGTGTGGTCTTCCATGCTGGGAGCTTTCTGCATCCTGAAATGAAGAGAAATGAGAAACCACCACCCATATATTCTTGGCTTTCCATCAGCCTATTTTTGAATCCAGATTGCATTAACCTTTGGCTTTTTTATTTGTCTTAACTGTAATACAGCCACTGTGAAACTTGCAGCCCTCGATCCCATGCAGTCTTCCTCCTTCCTTCAGATTTCTGGGTCTTTTTTCATGTTCCTTCTATTCAAATCAGTAAGTGGGGTAAGCCAAGTATATTTGGCAGCAGCATTTTTACTTATTGTGTTGAATGTTACATAAATACTATAATTTCAAGGCACATGCAAAGTGGATTCTTGTTCAGATTAAATAATATCACATTAGCACAGTAGCACTTCAGTGCCTGTTCTATTTTTTGGCGAAACAAAGTTACCCTTCAATTCTCCATAATACAAATACCGATTAACCAGGTAGGACACACACTTATTTTCTCTGCTGGGAAGGCTTGAGATGACAGTTGCTATAGCAACCATACATATGTGGATTTGGGAGTTATGAGGATTTAAATACCACATTTGCTGGAGTCTTATGCTGTTGGGTGGGTGAGGAAATCGGGCTTTGAGGCTCATTTGGAGCACGACTTTGAATCTGGCATAGTGGGGGCACAGGGAGGATTGTGAGCTGTAGCTTTCTTCTAAAGAAATGTAATTTATCACCCTTTGAAATGAATAGCTTTAAATAATGCTAATGTTTATTCTTTATAATGCCCCTGCGTTTCAAAACAGAAATGAAGACTGGTTCTAATAACAGTGGCTGCTTAGAACTTTATAACTGCAAATACTCATTTCTCTCACTGTTCTGCAGCAGAGTTCGCCTACAGCTGTATTTTGTTTTCAGGAGCTGTGAGGATCTGCGTGTTCAGGTACTGAAGTTCTTAACTTCATCCAGCATCGGGTCTGAGCAGTGTGTGGGGTTTCATGCAGCCTGGCAGCCCTGCGGTGCCGTGGGCTGTCCTGCAGTGAGACCAGCTGCTGGCCTCAGCCCAAATGGCACCCTGGCCCCATAGAAGGCAAAT